CCCCTCAAATCTACAGGAATTTCCCAACCTGGAGGTAGCAATCCTATCTCCTTCCCAGCCAACCACCACCATACCATTATCTTCCCCTCTGACTTCAAGTTTCAATCTCCTCCCTACAGCCTCTACCTTGGAAAAGTACAGTCTTTCTCCACAGTGGTAACCAAAGCAGCTCACATCATTCTCCTCTCCCCCTTTTGATCTGCACTACAACCCTGTGAGGTGGCTGGGCTGAAAGTCTGTGAGTGGTCTGAAATCACCCACTCAGCTTCCACAGCAAAAACCTAGGTCTCCCCCTGGAGAAAATAACTGCTTTGGAGGGTGGACTCTATGGCATTCTGTTCAGCTGAGGCCTCTCCCATCCCCAAACTCTGGCTTTCTTAGACTCCACCACAAAATCTCCAGGAATTTCCCAACCTGGAGATGGCAACCCTAGTCAGGACTGGCCCCAATGAGTTCCCCACAAAGGCCAAAGTAGGCCTGGAAAGGGCCTCCTACCTTTGCCTTTTTACTGACAGAACCAAGCTTGGTTGCCTAGCAACAGCCACTGAGGGGAAACTGAGCCACACAGCAGGTTTGGCAGTTTATTCAGACAGGGAATGGCAGTGGGCGGGGGAGAAGAGTGGACCCAGCACCTAGCCAATGGCACATGAGTACTCGAGTGGTTGTTGACGGGTCAATGGCCGATGGAGTGCACAGCGCAGCCAATGGGAGAGCCGGAAAGTGCCAATACACTGGGCTTTTATATATATGGGGGGGGGATTATGAGGCTTCTTCAGGTAATATTTCAGTCCCACATCTAGTGTTGGGGAGGGATTAGGAGGGAGCTTCAGGCTTAAAAGCTCTTTATTAACTGCCCCCCTCAAATGTAGTAAAAATTGCAAAAGAGAGAACACAAGGCAGAAGAAATACCTGTGCAGATGCACAGAGAAAACAAAGTGTAGACTGTACTTCCCATTCAGCTACAGAAGGCAGAACGTTTAGTTAGCTTCAGACATCTTCATAAGTGTTGGGAAATGCACTACCACACACCAAACAAGAATTCAGTAGAGCAATAAAGGGGGGTGGTACATGAAGTGACAATGGACATCATTATTCAACTCTGCTCATTTTAAAAAGAAATTCTAAAACATCCGGTCTTTCTTAGATTGCACACAATCGCTCATATAACTCACTGCTTGTGAATGGTTTCTCTGGATTGGAACATTCTTGTTTTGAGGGTATCATTTTTGGGTAAGGGGCATAGTATGCCATTTCAGGAAATGAGCTTTCTGTGGACAGAGCAGCTATCCTTCTCTCAAACCTTCTCTCAGCCACTCTCACACAGTTAGTTCCCCAGATCAGTCTTATTTAAAAAAAGAGCAAAAAGGCATTCAGTTCCTCACAGGATCCATCTACTGCTACTTCAAGTTCTAGGGATTTCATTCAGTGCAGTAAAGTATTTATTAGTTATGTACAACATTTATATCCCACTATGTCTCTAACACTATCCCAGGTAGTTAGAAGACACAGCTAGGATGTTTTCCCTCAACAAGGCCAATATATAGTTCTCTGAACCACTGACAGACTCATGGATGCCAACCTGATCCCCCTGAATGAAGAATGAGATTTAAAAAAAAAATGTAAACAAGAAATGCCTTAATACACTGTACTACTTAAATTGTTATAAGTCTAAGCCACTGTTTCTCAAACTGCTGATTCCTAGGGTTCCATGAAGCTGCTCCATGGGGTTCAGTGGACAGCCCTTATAACGTCCAGTTAATGTCAAAATAGTGCGTTCTCATTTTTTTAGTTATAGGGTCAGGGACTCTCAATCTCAGGTGGTGGAACTGGCTTTCCCCTCATTTGAAGGGTGAGAATTCATAACGCTGTCACCACTAGCAGTAGAACTGGGGGAGTGGGGACAATCTCTTCAGCATTGTACCAACAAGCAATATAACTTCTGGTGAAAAACTGGAAGTGATGTCGACATGTCTAGCAGCACTCTAGGTTTCACCCCAAAGTCTATGGTTAAGCCATGATGATCCTAGAGCGTCATGCCTTTGCAATGACATCTTTTATGGTACAAAATCTGAATTGGCATTGATGTGGCGCCAAACAGCCCTCCCATTTTCCTTCTACCAGCCACTACCAAGTAGTGGCAGGGAATGGGGCCTCCTTCGTCACCTCCAATACTTACTCAGCTTCCAGACCACTTCAGAACATGTGCTAAATGGTTGTTGGGAACCATATCACCCCTGTGGATGCCTAGCCATATGCGGGGGAACACAACCCTACTGATTTTCCAGGAGTTCTCAGTGGTTTTAGGTGCCATCAATCATCGTATCCTTCTGGAGGTACCATGTTACAATGGTTTCAGTCCTACCTGGAAGGCAGGTTTCAGAAGGTGGTGCTGGGGGACCGCTGCTCAGCTCCTTGGTGTTTGATCTATGGCGTGTTGCAGGGTTCCATCCTGTGCCTCGTGCACTTTAACATCTACATGTAACTGCTGGAAATTTCATCTGGGTCACCAAAACGCTGATGACATTCAGCTCTACCTCATTCCTTCCACTGGTTCCAGAGAGAATGTAGAAACCCTGAACCAGTGCATGGAGTGAGTTTTAGAGTAGATGCAGGCTAATAAACTAACACTTAATCCTGACAAGACAGAAGTACTACTGGTGAACAGAATGAGTGAGCTGGGAATTGAGGTGGTAATGTATACAAACAGACTCTAGAGGCAGATTTCTGCTTTGCACGCCCTTTAGTAAAGAAGCTGTCTGAAAGGAGGCCTGCCCAGAGGGAGAATGGGTCCGAGAGCTAACTAAAAAAACATCCAAACTACCAACACAAGCTATTGCTTGCTTGGAGCCAGAGTTACACCCCTGAAGGCACTTGGTTTTCCAGGCTGCACAGCTTTCCAACGTTTATCACTGCATGGCATACCCTGTGGTACTTTCCTACCAGAAAGTGAACAAGCATGTTCCAACAGGCACCGCATTCTCTTGGTCGCGCATGCCTCCGAGTGATCTGGATGACTACCCAACGTTGCACTACACATCGGTAAAACTGATTTGTAAAATAGATTCCCATTACTCTGCACTGGTTCCACTGCTTAGATCTCCAACCAAAACACCAGTTTAAAAGCGGCGCAGATGGTACTAATAGCCAAGCTGTCGATCATTTTAAATTACACTCAGCCGAATCTCCATTCGCATGCTGAAGAGAAATATGTGGTACCCTCGTTCCCAATGATATGAATGTACATTGAGCCCACTCCTCCCATCATGGATAATTACCAGGCTGCACAGACAACATCAGGAGTCGCATTTACTTTTCAGTCAGCTGTCCAAACCTAATCAGTCACTCAGGATAATAAACACAATGAACTGTGTCTTCGCTCAATTCAAATGCACTACCTACCGATTCCGGCTGCTTTCAGGGTGCCGTCCTCTGCCAAAATGAGTTTGTCATCATCTTCTAAACTCACAACAAGTTCATTGGTCTAGAAATAGGAGAGGGGGGAGGATGAAAATAAATATGGGGTTGCCAAATAAGGGATGCCTCTATATCCTAGTAGGGGTAAGACCTCTTCTGTCACCAACAAATTAAATTTAGAAAGATCTAAGGAGGTTAAGGAGGGAACCATAAAAAAGTACCTTAGAGCCATGCGCCTGGTGAATAATCTTCATTGTGTCTGAAAGGGAGAGAACTTGCTTTGAGCAACAATTTGATATCAAGCATTCAGAACAGCTGTCTGTAACATCTCTAAGTCTCAGGCACATAGAATCATAGAATGTTAGAGTTGGAAGGGACCTTACAGGTCATCTAGTCCAACCCCCTGCACTCTGCCGAAAGATAGCCCTACAACATACCCGAAAGATGGTCGTCCAGCCTCTGCTTGAAAGCGTCTAGCGAAGGAGCATCCACCACCTCCCGAGGCAGCCTGTTCCACTTCTCAACCACTCTTACAGTTAGGAAGTTTCTCCTGATATTTAGCCGGTAACGACTCCCTTGTAATTTCCACCCATTAGATCTAGTCTTGCAATCCGGAGGAAGAGAGACTAGATCTGCTCCATCTTCTACATGACAGCCCTTCAAATACTTGAAGACTGCAATCATGTCCCCTCTAAGCCTTTTTTCCCCCAGGCTAAACATACCCAACTCTTTCAGGCTTTCCTCATAAGACTTGGATGTTACATTCTTCATGCATGCTTTTATCTTGTAGCATTTTCCCCTCCATAGTTCTCTTCCCCCTACTAAAAATGTGCAAGCATTACATTTTTCAGTTGCCTGGGGAAATCCTGTTCCTTTCCCATCACCCTCAGCCAATATCACTTGTGACGCTAATGGCATGATTCTATTCCCATTTATTCAGAAGCAAGTCCAATTCAGTTCCGTAGTTTCCAAGTATGTGTGGACACAGCATTCCAGCACTTGCTATTCTGTAACAGCTCACTTATATACCTACCGCGGGGCCTGTGATGTGATGAGCACAAACAAGGGTTTCTAAGAAAGTCACACATTCCCAAAGTGCAGGCAAAATCAACGTAGAAGTTATGGAATTCATAAAGGGGGATTTACTTACATTTCTGTGTAAGTAAAATAATAACACGTTTCACTGCTTCAACTGTGTTCAGTTGGCAGGAACACACGTTGGGACTGGAGAATGTGTGTAAGTTAACATCTGCTATTTCCTGATGTGCCTGAGTCCACATGACACGACACTGGGTCTCAGGCTGAGTTCAGACTGGCACTTTGAAGCAAGAGGGAGTCGTGGCAAAAAAGACCCAGAACAAACTGTTCCGGGTTTTCCCGGTCACACTGCACTGACTGATGCGGGAGGAGGTGCAAGGGAGTGTTCACACTGTTGGCCTGGAGGCATGGCTGTAAGCGGCTTTTTCTGGTAATCCGGTTATGTGCGCTTATGTGCATCCCTACCGGATCACGGCTTTTCACGTTCACACTTCCGGGAAGCGGGATGGACACAGGATAATCGCGCTTTCTAGGGTTTGATACCACTTTCACCAGGTATCTTTTAAACTCAGGAGGGAAGCGTTACAAGACGGGTTGAGTTCGGCTGGGGAACATCTGACAAATGTGCTTGTGTGAACGGCCCCTTTAATCCGTTTGTGAAACGTTTCTGGCTCGTGCCTATATCGGGGCAAACTGCCAGTCTGAACTCAGCCTCAGAATAAGCCATCTTGCCTTCAGATTTTAACACACATTATAGTCCTAAGAACCCTTTACTGAGAGTAAGCCCCAGTGAATAAAACGAGACTTCCTTCTGGGTAGACATAGGATTGCTCCCACGGAGGGAAGTTCTGCATACTTTTCTTCTTGTTAACCCTTTATAACATGCATGGTTAATCATGCACAACCAACCAAAGCTGATGACTCTTTGCCATGGACAGCCCTCACTAAGGATATTAGGTTGGATCCTTCTATTCTGCTAGTTGCAGGAGCCTTCCACTGGTGGAAAATACATATTCCATTGATGGAAATATCCACCATTAGCAGAATGGACTCACAGCAGTCCAAACCATTGCTTAAAACATATACCTTTTATACCAGATAAACTGTGATCACCTTGCAGTTTGTTTCTTTAAACTAACAATGAAATGGTAAATATGACAGCCCACAAACATCTGGAACAAATCCTCCAAATTCAGTAATGGAGACACAGTTACAGAAAGCCTTGCTAAGGATATTCACAATCTTTGTATGCTTTCAGTACAGTAACAAAGACGTATCTGTACCATTGATATTTTCATAGTACATTTTTTTGTCTTTTCTTTCCAGCTGGGTAGGCATATTTTGGGTTTGGATTGTTTTAGCCCACTTAGTCTGGAGGAAGTCGACAGATTGCTCGTATCTGTGCGCCCAACCACATGCAGCCTTGATCCATGACCCTCCTGGCTCATTAAAGCGGGCCACGAGGGGTTTCGAGGTGCCCTGAGGGAGATTATCAACGTCCCTCTCTGAGGGGCATTTCCTGGGGGCACTCAAGGAAGCGATGGTCCGCCCCCTCTTGAAAAAACCATCACTGGATCCGGCTGAATTGGCCAACTATCGGCTGCTTTCCAATTTACTCTATTTGGGCAAATTAATTGAGAGGGCGGTGGCGTTACAACTACAGAGCTTCCTAGATGACGCTTCCACCTTGGACCCCTGCCAGTCCGGCTTTTGCCCGGAGCATGGGACAGAGACAGTGCTGGTCGCTCTTACTGATGACCTCCAGAGGCATCTGGATTGAGGCGGTGTGGCGGTATTGTTGTTAGATCTGTCGGCCGCATTTGATACGGTCGACCATCAGCTGCTGACCCGCCACCTTGCCGACGTGGGGATATGGGGGCTTGCCCTTCAATGGCTTGCCTCTTTTCTCCAGGGTCGGTGACAAAGGGTGGCACTAGGGGAACAGCAGTCCCAGAGACACCCGCTTGAATGCGGCGTGACCCAGGGGGCTGTGCTTTCCCCGATGTTAACATCTATATGCGCCCCCTTGCCCAGATTGCCCGGAGGCATGGGCTAGGGTGTCATCAATATGTAGATGACACCCAGCTCTATCTGATGTTGGGCGGCCGGTCGGACTCCAACCCAGAAGATCTGAACCAGGCAATGCAAGCCATGGCTGGT